TTTGAAAAACGTAATTGCTGGTATCGGTTTTTAGTATTAAGACAGAGGTCAGTTATAACGCAGAGTGCATTGATCAATAATGTATCGCAGGGTGCGGAGGTCAGTAATGTAACGCAAAGTGCGGAGGTCAGTAATGTTCAAAAAACATGCACACCCATTGCACTTCTGACTGAATAGAAAACCCTAATTGTAGGGTGGGTGCTGAAATGATCACGGATGCCTCCGCAAAATAATCCAAAAAATTTAAAAAGGTCACAAGCACTCCAGCATGTAGAAAAGTCAATATCTAATGAATTCACAGGTGTTACATCATCAGAGCGACGTTTTGGAACAGCAAAGTCCCTTCCTAAGGCAAAACAGATAAATATACTTGTGAAGTCAATAAACAATGACTTTTCTACATGCTGGAGTGCTTGTGACCTTTTTTGAGGTCAGTAATGTAACGCAGAGTGCGGAGGTCAGTAATGTAACGCAGAGTGTGGAGGTCAGTAATGTAACGCAGAGTGCGGAGGTCAGTAATGTAACGCAGAGTGTGTAGCTCAGTAATGTAACGCAAAGTGCGGATGGAAGCAATGTAACGCAGAGTGCGGATGACAGCAATGTAACGCAAAGTGCGGAGGACAACAATGTAACGCAAAGTGCGGATGACAGCAATGTAACGCAGAGTGCGGATGACAGCAATGTAACGCAAAGTGCAGAGGACAGCAATGTAACGCAAAGTGCAAAGGACAGCAGTGTAACGCAGAATGCGGATGACAGCAATGTAATGCAAAGTGTGGATGACAGCACTGTAACGCAAAGTGCAGAGGACAGCAATTAAACGCAAAGTGCGGATGACAGCAATGTAACGCAAAGTGCGGAGGACAGCAATGTAGCACAGATTGCGGATGACAGCAATGTAACGCAGAGTGCGGATGACAGCAATGTAATGCAAAGTGCGGAGGACAGCAATGTTGCGCAAAGTGCGGAGGACAGCAATGTTACGCAAAGTGCGGACGACAGCAATGTAGCACAGATTGCGTATAACAGCAATGTAACGCAGAGTGCGGATGACAGCAATGTAACGCAGAGTGCGGATGACAGCAATGTAACGCAGAGTGCGGATGACAGCAATGTAA